GTCACCAGAGTATCAGTGTTGGACACTGTCCATGATGGTGATAATGATTGGGTTGGAAAGTCTGTGGTGCAATCAACAAACAAGGAAGAAAAATGAAGTTTGTGGAAAAATGCGCTTCTGTCATTGGCCGCCACATCCCATTGTCAGAGTCCGTAGACCAAACAACCTCAAACTAAATGTTGGCTTGATAGTGTAGTTTGCAGCAAGGTGAAAGCCGGCACAGAGGAGTAAAACAGATGGAAATCAGTAAGTATGCGGGCATTACACGAGTAAGCAAACGAGTGGGGAAAATTATCATAATCTCAACTTGAATTCAGTAGAGTATCTCTGGATTTTTAAATTGTGCATGTGGTTGGTGTGGGAGGGATTGTTTGCACGAACTCGTACGAACTAATTTATTCACATTACATTTGATGCTCTTTGGGACAGACAAATAACAGCTGGTTAGTGCCTCCAGAGTTCGGTGCTTCACTTTCTGAGGTATACAAGACTCGGGGCAAAATACTTAGAAAACCTCCCCAATACTTTTCATCAATACAGTTTAAAACTACTAGGGAAATAACATGCCGCCAATTGGCCTTGCTGATGGTAAGGTTGCACATTTTGACTGGACTTGACCTCATATTTTAGTGCCTTACGTATTCGCGAGTTGAGCTAGCATTCCACAGTAGATCAGGTAATCCTGGAGAGTCACTAACCGTTAACAAATTCGGCGCTAGCTTTACATAAGGATGATTCACCGGTGATCTGAAGAGTCCTGAACTCTCGAGAAATACACCATTTACAAATCCAATTTGGTTTTCACGAGAGACTCAACTGAATCTCTCGTTTATGATGTTCTACAACTGAATGTGCTACACACAGGCCGCCTCATGTTTCAGTTGGTACGATACTCGAGATATCGCAGGAAACTACTCACAGGGTTGCTGAAAACTCTTCGACCGCCCACGACCGGTTTCACCCTTCTTGGGGCTCATCAGGTAGGGGTAGTCCCCGAGTTTCCATCAACCTTATATTCTACTTGATGAGCCCCAAGAAAGGCGAAACCTGTCGTGGGCTGTCGGACCGGTTTCACCCTTCTTAGGGCTCATCAGGTAGGGGTAGTCCCCGAGTTTCCATCAACCTTATATTCTACTTGATGAGCCCCAAGAAAGGCGAAACCGGTCGTGGGCTGTCGAAAAGTCCTAGGCTCTCTTTTGTAATCACCCACACACATCAATCCAAACACATCTTGGCCATTTTTCGCTCTGAGATTTCATCAGAATGTTGTTTGAGTTGGTGACAAGACTGTTCTCCGTGACCTTTGAAGAGTCCACCAGGGAACTCGTCTTTTTTGAGTTCATTGCTATTTTTCTTTGACAATAATTGTTGTTCAGTATACCCCAAATGTGTTCGGTAGATTTGCAGGTGGGATCCATTGAGCAGGTTCATAGATGTGTTGGGGTCCGGTTTAACTGAGTCACGAAATATCTTAACCAGATATGATTATGTCTCTATGCGTCTACTATCGATACTTCTTTATAGTCATACTTTATATAAGTGGTCGGTTTGATGATGACAAATGACTAACAACTATTTGAAGCCGCCGCATTTCTGTATTCAGTAGTCTGTAATCTTCATCAAATCCCACCATGATTCCTAAAACTTGTTGACGGCTGATCGTCTTGTTCATAGATCCTTGTGTCGAGTAAGATTCATAGGATTTTTTGCAGCTTTTTGGATGAGAATCGTAAACTTCCTTCTGCCTATGTTTGGTCACCCTGAGAGTATTCATGTCCGCGTACAAATGTGAACATCACAACTTATGGTGATACGGTATTTTGTTATGCTTATGATCTATTCTGTCATCTAGGGGTAGCGAAGACTGCATGTGGCTTTTCTCTAATTCACTTTCATGTCTTCTATCAAATTCGTACTCAGAGCATTCTGAGTGACTGACTGTTTTTGTTCTCCTGCGTCTATTCTTTTGTATCATAATCTCTGGTAATCTCTGGGAAGCCATATGCTACGATACGTTAAAATGTCTTTTAGTGTCTTCAGTCGCGAACGAAAATCATGGAAGTAATATATGTGATTTGATTTTGTCTCCAGACTTAGTGTGATTCTAGGGCTTCCTGTTGACTACATTAAAGTTATGGTCTGTACAAACAGTGTTGGACTCGAATTCGACGACAAGTATATACACAAGGCCGGAGTATTGATATGAGCGGTCCCTTAGGGCCGACTGTAGGATGGTTGAACAAAAGAATATTAGCAAAATATTAAAACTACCTTTCAGGAAGCCACTTTACTGAAACCTCCTCGACAGCTCAAGTAGAACGGCATCTACCTGATGAGCCGCAAGAAGTGCGAAATCGGTAGTGGACTGTTGAACACGAGTTGTTTCCTTGATGAAAATCTGCTTCAATATCTTGAATATCGTACTAACTGAAATGTGAGCCGGCCTTTGTACTGCACATTCAGATGAAGAATATCAACTGTTGGCGTTCCTTTAGGTCTCTCGTTAAAACTATGTTGGTTTCATATAAGTGTATTTCGTGCAATTTCAAAATATTTGTCTCATAAGCGATTTGTCGATGACATTCCCATTACTACTGATACAGCACTCGTTAAAACAGTTAATTACGTCCATCTTAACCCATGGGTACATTTGAGTGTGAATCGAACGTCAGACATAGCTTGGGCGCGCCCTCAATGACATCCCATGTATCCAGCTTACTGCCTATGCCTAGTTCCATTCCCAATATTCCAACTGAAAAATCCACTAACAACCACGTATTAGCGCACTATTTGTGTCAGCTACCATCTCCCGTACGCGACCATCTACTCACCTGTCCAAATCGGTGGCAGGAACCATGGTCTTGGGAACGCTTAAACAGGCAGGACAAACGGATACCTAGCTTCGTATGCGGTAGAACGCGTTCCATACCATATAAACGAGAATTTGTCTGGAGAGCCGTCAGGTCAAAGGTCAATCGCAATTCCGTATCGTCAATGGTCAAACATCTGTTATGTCCGGATCATCGGATTGAGCCGGTCCATTTCTTCCGAACTGTATTGCGCACTTCAAACTGCACGCTATCGATGATCAGCGAAGCGCTGCTTATCAAATCAGACCAGCTCAAACTGTGCACAAAACCAGTTGAAGTAAATTACTTGGTTACCCAAACAACGACCGGATGACGTGCAGATATCAGCTAAACAGTGTTTGTTCCAGATTGTTCCTGTCCTTTACTTGTATAATTTACGTCCGCGACTGAACAGAGCATTTATATTCTGACAGTTCTAATCGGATAGATAAATGGGAAATGCCTAGGAAACAGACGAGGGTATAATATTAAATCGGACCGAAACGCCAGCCCTCATGGCCACATCGTCCATCTGCGTTCAAAGCTGGTCTACCAGTGGTAACTATCGGGTTGATAACGACGGTGTTTTTTGTCAGGAATATTTCATGTTCAGAGCAGAACCGCCACTCTTCACGACTACCACTCTTCAGCGTACCATGGTCATACAGACCTCCTAACCATTATTCTGTGCTCAACCTACCTAGAGAAGCAAAAGTGCCCCTAGTTGTGATTTTCTCGGTTTTCCATAGCTCGTCATTGAATCGTTTAACTGAGGCTGGGGTACCCCTTGCATAATGTCTAGGATACAATCACTTGACACATACACAAACCTACCTCTTATCCTCCGCTTTACATTCGGCCGCCCTACCTATTTTGCATATATTGAAACCATTTGTAGCACATCAGAAGCACTGGAAAGATTACTTCACTAGACTCCCTTTTGCCAATCTTTCTAGTTTTGATAGCTGGTTTATATTGGATCGATATCCGAGTTCGTCATCCAATGTTTATAGCACATCAGTCTTTCCCTTGCTGGACTGTCCTTTCAACCAATCCACACATGTATTCCGTAAACGAACTACTTTCAGGCACTATCCAGCTGAAGTGAGCGGGATAGTAAACTTATTTGTTTCAAACATTCACAAAAACAAACAACCTTTCATTCGAAGACGAATTATTTTAGTCGCATTTGCTGAATTGTTCAATTTATCCATTAACCTTGACACTGAACACCTTGGAATACGGAGGAGACTGAAATCTGGTTGAAAATAAACCAAACTAGTCTTCAAGCGAGTGTGTTCCACAACGTTTGCACACTTTGAGTTCAAGTAGAACATAGGAGTGACGGAACCTCTGAGACTGTGTCTACTAGGTAAGCCCCAAGAAGGGTGAAATTGGTCGTGGGCTGTCGAAAGGTTTTCAGCAGTCTTGTAAGTACTGTCCGTTTGTGAAAACAGTGTGGAGTTTCTATGGGCTGCATAGCGGAGCAGTCTTCTACTGTTCATCATGTGCTCTCGGATATGTGGTAAAGTTCAGTATTGGTTTTTGAAGGAAGCTTGTTTTGGAGCGTTTTCGGAAGTGTATAACCTACTGACCATCACCGTGGATAGTGATTGGTACATAGCACGATCAACAACCCAAACCAATCTCGCTATTCTTAGCAGCATGGTAGTTTCATTCGTTTCAATCTCCGTGTGAGTTTTTTGTGAGTTATCTTCCTAAAGTAAACCAGACGACTTTCTCAAAGCAACCTTTTTTCGGATATGATGATTCGGTTTCATCGAACATACGCTACTCCATTGGTGGTGCTAGGACGCTCGTCTCACATTTCACTATTCCACACTTCCAATCCCGTTGGGGCCAAAGCTGTGCATCGGTGATGGGTGAGCTCTGATAAGCGCGATAATTCAGCTTTCCCAACCAATCTAAATGAGCCAACACAATGAATGTTCAACCTGTATGATTGATTACGATAATGTGAATAATTTGCGGGCAAATCTAAACTCTTCTTGTTATCGAGAGATATAAGTGAGATGAACAAGTACTAGAACGTTTTTCAGTAAATGAGGCTGAGATGACTATTGGACGTAAAATATCAGTGGCATTTCGCCAACTTCATTTACTGTATTCTGTTGGAATTCTCCTTCGTAGAAACGAGAAGACGGTAGCGGTTTGTGTCGGAGCGTCAATTTAAAAGTAAGTCTAGCTATCCTCTTCAAGTGGCGTTAGGATATGGACGGCGTTCGTGAACTGATTCTGAAGCACGCGGAGCAATTGGTTGCTATAGGAGAAGTAAGTCCAATGTTCTTCAAATACCTCTATCTCCTCAGGTTGGTCTGGATTTCAGCCCATGTGTGTGCCCGACTACGGAATTACATGCAGTACAACGTGCCGTACTTACACACCATATTCATTTGTCAAAGGACTTGAACTTACCACTGTAAGTTTTTTCTAAATTGTATCCTACACTGGTCCCCTCGGCTCAGCGACAGTCTTAAACCGACTTCCAATTCAAAATAATCCCTCTCACGAATTTTCCTGTTGCTGTCAACATTGGTTGAAGATAACCTTATTAGTTGAAAGGTGGTCTTCCGGTGGTTTCGGTGTAGTGCAAATTAATGTTCAAGTTTTCCTTCGCCACACGAAACATTACGGGAGGTTGTCCCTCTTTGGATTAAACTATCTTGTTTTGCAGCCACACTTGTGGTTTGGAAGTTAACTCAGTGGAAGGTTTTTTCAGTTCCGTACACCGAATTATCTTGCTGTTAAAACGCAAAGGGTGAATAGGTTGAATGTCAGCTCACCTCGGTAGGTTGGTGCCCGACCCATGAAATAGCGGATGCATAAATTGTAGTCGCTCAATTTGTATGCAGGTGATAAACCGAGACGGGTTAGGGTCGTTCACGCGTACTGGTGTATGGAACATGCATGTTTCGTTTTTAGCGACGCGCGACAGACTTGTTACTTGTCTTGCTTGCAAGATACTTCCAAGGACACCCCTTAGGCGCAATCATCCGGAAAGTGAGTGACCGAAAGTTAGTTTTTAACAAAAAAACAACCCATAGCGCTAGATCAGTCCGTTATCCTAGTTCCATTTTTTCTCATTCCCTGACTTGCACATGATCAGTAATTCTTTCTGGTTCGGAAGTTCGCAGGCTTTCGTAGGAAGAAAGCTCACTCAATTTGTGCGTATTACTAACCCAACAATTATCTTAGCCATTCAAGCCTATTAGAACAAAAGGTTTCACTCGATTGAATGCGATAAATAATACAATCAAACTATTCACCGGGATGCACGGAGAGTATTTTCATGAGAAGTGTCTCTGTGCGACAAGTCGTACAACCAAGTGTTCACTGTCCAACTATTGGCGGCTCGGACACATGTATAGGTTACTCATTGGCGAACAGCTTCAAGTAGGACATAAGGTTTACGCAAGATCGGGGACTGACGAGCCCCAAGAAGGGCGAAACCGGTCTTGGGCTGTCGAAGAGTTTTCAGCAACCTCGTGAGTAGCTTTCTTTATGAAGCTCTTAAGCTGGTCAGTTCAAGGAAATTATCTAGGTTATCTAATAGCCCTGAATAAACTGGAAAAAAGAACAGTCCTAGCAACATATTTGTTGTTCTTTCGGTAGCATAAATGACGTCTTCAATCAATTGGAAAAATTTTTGAACCGATTGGATAGTCATAATTTCAGATAGGTTAGGTGAAAATCAACTCTATTGGGGATAATTTTTCTTAGAAGTGTGTTCTCGACTCCCTTCTGCCATTCGACTGAGCCACAACTGTAGACCATCAGTGCTTTTTCTCAAAAGCTACCAGCATTACATCCACCTGGAATTATACCGGACATTCAGCATCGTACGTATTAGTGAATGCCATTCCTTGTTATAGCCTGCTGGTTTATCTTATGTTCGAACTTGGCAATGTAGTGGAATGGAGGTTGTTCGGGTGCGCTGCTTAGTTGTTGGTCTGTTCGCCGAGCTTGACAGCTGGATTGCAAACGTTTCATCACTAACCGAGGCGACGTCGTCAGTGCAGGGCTGTGTTTGTGATCGTATAGCTTCTAAACGGTATCTGGTAGTTCTGAAAGCGGTCTTCGCGTAGTTTGATTGGTCTCCTGTGAATCTGAGTTGGTCTCAATCTCTTGTGCCTGGTTGGTTCGTTACCTTCGAACTCTTAATGGCATTATAGACGCAACACTAATCAGTTGGGTTAAGTGAATATCGTGGATAGATAACAACCCTTTTCTGTTTGCCTGTCGTTCGCAGTACTGTGCATCTAGCATTGATAATTGTGCAGAAATGTAATAGGTGATGAATGCCTAGCTGCTTGATATCGGAGGACAAAGCGCTTTTTGCTCAGGATGAAATCAATGTGATGACGGGACACTGAATATTCCTTGTTACCACTGAAGCTTCATCTATACCCAATGAATGTTTCAATAAGAAATCTATGGAGCGTGTCCATAAAGTTACTAGACTTACAACAGCTCCACCCGTTTTGAATTTTAGGAATGTGCACTCGCGGTCTGCCTCTAAACCTACTTTGGAATTACTGAAGTCAGAAGGTGAGTGCAGATTACAGTGAATGTGAAGTATTTCGTCTAGTTGGTAGCCGCGACTTTTCCCATTGACTGTTTTTACCAGTCGAGTAACGTTTTATTCGCTTTAAAGTGTGGATCTCACGTGCTCGACTTATGTGGTTTTGCTTATGTCCTTTGGGTAACCGGACGATGTGAACGTCCGGTCGTCTATTGTGCACGTTAAGAACCGCACGGATACTCCGCACTGGCGCACTGTGCTGATACCATCATCATCATCATCATCATCATCATCATCATCATCATCATCATCATCATCATCATCATCATCATCATCATAATCGTTTCCGGGTCTACAACCCTCGTGCATTTTGTGCAGTGATACACAGTTTTTCTCATCTGCAGAGATAGTTGTAGATAGCTAACATTCGGAGGCTAACCATTGTTTGACTACCCCTGACTCGTTTTCATCCTCCGCGTGACTGTGTGAAAAGGGCTCTTTGGAAAAGTCGGTCACCGGTATACGTAGCACATTACCAATCCAGCCTAACCTATGGAGTGTGATCAGTTAATCTATCGCGGGCGGGTTATTTCTTCCGGACGCCACTATGTTTACCTCAGTATTACAGATCCGGTGTTCCCGCCAGGCTTGGACAATGTTTCGAGCACACCGATGGTCAAGTACAAAGTCTTTAACATCCTCGCTCTTCCGGAATCTGTTGGAGGGTGAGAATCCGTCGATCCGTCATCTCGGTTTGGTTTTTACGTATCTGTCTCCCTCTGTGTTCAGTCAATCTTCAAATGATGAGATCAGACAGCACCTTTAATGCCAAAGCTACCAGGCTAATGCTGCGGTGTTATAATGTCTGACCGTTATTTTTCATTTGTATGGGTCTTTCTGAATAGATTTCCCCGCGTGCGCGCCGTTTCGCTTCATTCAAAGCCATCTTGACATTTGTGGAGATTTCGTCCTACAGGTGAAACCAATCTATGCTGAAAAACTGAGAAGAATAGATTGGCCTACTTACAGGAAATTCCTAATAAGAATGAAACAGCTGTACAGCGCTCCGCGGCTTTTCAACCTAGATTGGCCTCACTTACAGGACGAAATCCCACAAAAAAATCCCAAATCTCCTTACACTACCAACAATCTTGACATTTCCTGATACTGACTGTTTCCGCGGAAATTTCATGAGCGAACGGACAACCACTGCTGAGTGGAAGCCATCGTATTTATGTGAAGAAGCGGTACATCTCGCAATGCATTGTGTCGTATTGTAATCCAACTCAGAGAACGTGTTGGATTATTATAGCAAAACTCCTAATCATGGGCAAGTCATCGAATGTTTGCTATCCTAGTTACACACTAAGGGGTTTTATTCAAGTTCCCCTGCAAAAACCATCATATGACTGGAATTTTGGATTGCGAATACTGCACGAGGTAACGCGTTTTGGATGTCACTTACAAGAAGGACTTCAAACGAGAAAACAGACTCTTTACTTCTAAATGTCGTCTTGTATGGCATAGCTGAGAACCACTTCACATCTCTTCCGTCTGAAGTCTGTAGGAAGCTATGCCGGCATGCAAGCTTTGAGTGGTAGCCCGAAACCATCATCCACCTACGGGGTTCGTGAGATCGTATTTCTACAATGAAAGACAGACTCGAGGGGCGTAGGTTCATTTCTGGCCCCCGGTATATGTTTCTTCGTTACCGCTATGCGTATTTTTATTTTTGTCTAGTATTCACCGAATGCCCATCTAATCTGCAAATAATCAGCGGTCTAGAGTTGCTTGTTAGGTTCAATCATGCGTGTGTTTGATTGCACTGAGGGTGATCCTTATCAAGAAGTGTATTTCCTGAAAACACAGACATTCGTAGTTTAAACAATCCTTCTCCTAAAGCTATCACTGCTACTGAGTATCGGAAGTGATCACTCGAGTATAATGCCCCTTTTGAGAGCGACCCATAATCCTTCTTACACTCCAACTATTTATGAGTAGATGTAGTGTTTTCAAGCGATTAATAACTCCGCCGGTACTGCTGTATCACAAAAAGCGAGAAACTTCTTTTCAGAAGAAAAACTATCGCAAGCAAGTACGTGTTCCAATCGGTTGTACAGTCAGTTCCAGTCAGGATTGGCGTGGTACTGATGCATAAAATGAACTTACTACAATGGCAGTCATCTGGTGATGGTCCAACACTAGATCGAAATAGGAACCAGGATGCTGGCAGTTGAATGGAAACACTGTTTCAAAAACACAAACGGCGACCATATGATCCATCTCTGGTCATTTCCTAATGTTCCAGGCACTACGAGTGTCCATGAGGTATATTCTCACTCGCATAGCTCCGGTTGCAAAATTTCTGTCGTAATGGCTTCTACTGCGGAAAAGGTTAATATGCCGAAGCGTTTTGGATATCGTTGGTTCCCTGGATAGAAAATTCAAACACCAAGAGTCCCATAATTTTTGTCCCTCTTAATTTTTTCGCAGGATTATTTCCGCTCGCAGATAAGTCCTTGGCCTTCAACAATTGCATACTAATTTGCTTTCCACGGGGGGCTCACCTGAATCCTAGTTGAATCTCTTGTTTTATAATATTCCACTTTGACTATTCGTTCTAACCTTTTTCTCCTTCAACATGCAATAGTATCAATCCTCACAATCCATTTGAATCGGTTCGATGGTCTTGTTAGCATGACACTGCTAGGTCTGTTTGCGCTGCAGGTGTAATTTCAATCTACATCATTCCTTATGGCTATCTTGGGGATCGTGAAAACAGAGCGGCCACGTCACATGACACCTTGACGACCCCATCTTTCATTATACTTGATATAGGGTTTCATTACAAGCGCGACCACAGTGGCATGTTTAGTGGCACATAAAATCACGGAAATATCTTCGTTCATCGCAATGATTGAACGGGTGTTTAAACAGATGGGTGACAAGACAAAAGAACTGCTCTCAGAAGCTGTGTCCATTAAAGTAAATGGGTCAAGGTAACTTTTGTGCGCGATACTTCGGGACAGAGCAGCTTCTCTCAGAAAAGAATGTTTGTGGGTGAACGGATCCCGGTTTTCGTTCACTTTATGGACGGCTTTATTGAAATGCGACTTTCGAGGACTCATCTCATAAAACAGAGAGCGTACCATATTCCTTTTATAACGTAGATATTACATCGGTATCGTACGTGATTACCTACCAGTATAGTTTGTTTTTGCGTACGTTGGAGTTGTTGAGCTACCGAAGCAAGCTTGTGAGTGCTATCTGACTACTGGGCTTCGCTGATGAACTGTAGTCATGATTAGCTGCACAAACGAAATGGTTGATCATAACTTCTCTCCGACCATTGCAAGCCAATTGCTAAGCTTGGCCAAAAGATCAGCGGCCACCTGACCTGTATGCTATGAAGCTATCATTTATATATCTCAAGTTCAAATCGATGTGAGAAATGAAATCTCACGTGTAACCTTGGAGGGGAGAACGTCTGATTGGTGAGGCTGGTTGTTGGAGAGAATTTACAATTTTACAGTACGACTGAAAATAAACTCCTTCAACTTTGTACTTGGGATTCCGATGTCCATGTTATTTCCCAAGTAAGCAGAGTTAGAGCTGATCATTTCAATCATTTGTACACAGAGATCTTGAGTTCAAAAAGCATAAGACTTTTAGAAAATTTTAGGTCCTCATCTCGAGAAGGAAATTCGAAGTTGCCTTTGGCCGAGTATGTCGATAAGAACCTCTAAACATGCCCCCGTTAGTTTGTATTCTCAGACTTTCAGGCGTGTGATAGTATACGGATAGCTCATCAAAAACTTCCGTGTACGAAGCTTGGATGCCATTCCTATTTCATTTTGTGCTCGATGAGATAAGGAGACGAACGCTGGAGGTTCCATGAAACATTAGTGCTAAAGTAGCTGCTGACGGAAACCTTGTCGACTGGGAGGATGCACACGAAATCTTTATCGTCTTCGAAAAGGAAAAGAAGGCGCGGATATTTCTGGATTAACTGACCAAAGAAATAGCATCCTTTCGCATGTATTTTCACCGGCAAAGTGTAACGTCATGCTCGTCAACATGGAGTCACCGAGCATGACACTTACGATCCAGGGAGAGGCACTCGACGTTGTGGGGCGTTTCACGTATCTGGGAGGTTGTATTAGCTCTAATTGTGGTGTGACAGATGAAGTCAGTACACGAATCTGCAAGGTTCGGGTCGCGTTCGATAATTTGAGGGACCTATGATGTCAAAGTTATACATCCCTGAATATCAATGGACGTGTGTATCAGGCCATAGTTCGGGCTTTTTTGTGGCATAGCTATGAGACTTGACATTTTTGAGCATCGGAACTGGGGTGTCTTCAGGTGTTCGACAATCTTTGTCTCAGAACTCTAAATGCACTGTTTTGGTATCGGTGATTAGAAAGCGAGTGTTCGGTTGTGCAACGGTGACTTCCATTGAAGAACCTATCGAGCACCAAACGCTGCATGTGTTAGGACGTGTTATGCGTGCCAAGCCGTCGTTTGCCGAAAAGAGTACTGTTTTTGCGTCCGGTTCAGAGTGCTGGAAGCAGAGAGGTGATATGGCATAGGGGTGTGAAAGAGATAATAAAGTATGTCAGGGTTCTGTCGGTGCTACTCTAGGATGGGGACAAAGTTATCCCCACTGCGTCTGGTTGGAGGCGCTGCAAGATGTGGCTGCTCGTAGATGTCAGTGACGTTCTTGCTGTCAGTTTTTATCCTGATTGCCTAAATGAGTTTCTGGAGGAGTAGACACCTAGAAATGCTTGTAGTAGGCTAGCACTAAGTCTCTTTCCTGTCCATCCTCATTCTTTTCTACACCATAGGGCCTTCAAATAAATCATGACTGTATGGCATCGAAGCGTCGATGTTGAAAACTAATGCCTTGCTCTGGATGATGATGTGATGTTGATTTCCATATTCCAGTCAATCTGTCACGTTTCCTAATGTCTCCGTAGCCGCCGTTCTCGCTCTTTCCTTGACATAAAGAACGTGATTCATCCATTTATTAGTTACCTTCTGTCGTTCGCATTTAGGCGCGTCACGTGTCCAAATGCATGCTTTCGATGGGCGACCTTCGGTGGCCATGTTGGGTGTACAGGAGGGATACTACTTCTCCATACCGCCTTGTGTGCTCCGAAGTAAACAGGTAGTTCCACCATACGTTGCGCATAGTCGTTCCCATTCATTACCCATTCATTATCACCTTGGTTCTTGCGAGATAATTTACTACTGCCTCAAATCACAATGTTGTTGTAATGTATTCTCAGCTCGGTATATTATCACTATTTGTTGGGTCGCGCAGGGTAATGATTTCTCGCATCAGCTGAAAGATTGGATGAGATCTGAGCACTTCCAACCGGATTTTGAGCATCGGTTGTTTTCCCCATTTCACTGCGTCGTACTTTAGCAATCATTATCACCCTGCCGTTTTTTCACATATGACCCTCAGTTTTCCTGGTTGTACTGATTCTCCACCCACTTACTGTTACTGTCTTACCACTTAAGGAATATCTAATGA